AGCAGCATTAAACTACACGACTATTATAATATGTACCATGACTTTTATCATTACTGAACAACCCGCCACCTGCAACAGAATGACGTCCTTTGTATGTTGCAAGACATAAAGGACAACCATATGTTGACATCGTAGTGGCTGGTAACTGGCGACGAGTCTTTCACCTGACACATTCGCTTGATAAAACATCTTCACTTTGATAGTTTTTGCTTGGAAATCAGAATTATTTCTTTACTATGTTAACGAAGTCATTTTTTAACAGATTTATTAGAATGATATTACCTCGTATAAACCTTATATATGGGCCAAATGCACTTTAAAAAAAATCAGAAACTTCAAAATTTTGTTACAAGCGGTTGAGAGTTACAGATCAGGAATGCGTTCCATGTGCCGTAAATCTAATTTCGCCAAAACAAAACTTCCCCTTTTAGGAGCTGAGTCGGAGGAGTGAGTCGTACATCATCTTTGATATTGACTACCAGTGACATTTTATATATCTCTGGCTAACGTACGGTGCACCTTAGGGGTCGGAGGGTATGAGTGAGGGAGGGTGAGGTGGAGAGGTGGGAGAGAGAGGTAGGGAGAAGGGAGAACCAGCGAGGAGGGAGGGGGACGTTGGCTCCCACTCACCTCTCTATTTCCAGTCTGCCGTGCACGCGAGCCCTCAGGCTGATTTGTAGTTTACATCACACTGAAGCTCCCCAAGAACTAATCAAGGCAGGGTACTGTACTTCCTCGTTACTGTCTTCCATACATGAAGTTATGTGGCACCCGTATTATGTAAGAACGGAGTCAATTACTACACATGGAATTCGCTGTCATACTTCTCGGGTATTATGTAGACAGTGGAAGGGTTTTCACAAACCACTGGCAGTACTCAGTCATTGCGGAGGACGAATCCCACTATGTAGCCACTGTCTGACGAAACGGTGATAGTCTTCAAGCCAATCTGCCTTCCCTCGGAGTTAGATAATAGCAAGGGAAGCCGACTGTTGGTTTCAGTAATCAACTAGACCACTGCGCCGAGAGGATGTAGTGGGGGGATGTGTGTGTGTGGGGGGTGTAGAGGCTGTGGCAAGAGAAGGCGTGTGAGAGTGAGAGATGGGCATGTGTCTAAAGAAGGAGAGTGAGACATGGGCGTATTAGGGATATGTGTGGGCGTGTGGTGTGGACAGATGAGCTTGTAATATAGAGATTGATGTGTGGGACACGATCCCTCAACGTAAAGAGGGTGTGTGATGGGAGAGAGAGAGAGAGGTGTGTGAGTGCGTGGTACGGGTGGAGTGAGATAGTGGTAAAGAGAAGGTGTGTGTGTGTGTGTATGGTAGAGACAGTGGGCGTGTGAGTTTGACAGAGAGAGGGGGGCTTAAGAGTGTGGTAAAGAGAGAGAGAGAGAGAGAGAGAGTGTGTGGGGGGGGGGGCACGGCAGGAATTGCGTACACAACATACTTTTCGGTGAGCCACAGAGGACTGCCGGAGAAGCCACGGAGTTCAAGTGTGCAAACATTTTTGGTGAAAGGCAACTAATCCCCGCCAAGAGGAAAAATGGGACGCAAACCTTTCTAACACGGACTGAAAAGGCATGAAAAGAGGTGTATGTTTAATTTTGATTCGGTAAATTTTTCTTTCTTGACTGTGAATTATCTCTTCCAAAAATAAGACAGAAATTAGAATTAGAAAGAAGTTACACATGGGAATTCTATCATACATGTTATTTGAATACAAGAATAAACACAATCATGGAAGCAAAAACTCGTATGAAATGTTCGCAAAAAAACACAAGATTTATACACACACACAACACATCAGCATACTGTGTCGTCGTAACTCAGAGGTGGATCATTCGGCCATGTAATTTCTCTACGTTAATCCTGGCAAACACAGCAGTAAAAACATTATTAAATTCTTAAGTGTACTCGCCACCCAACACGATAGTAGGGGGAAAAAGGCTTGAAAGACTGAACGAATAACAACAAGCATTTTGTGGGTCAAAAACAGATAAAAAAAAAATATGCAATTCGTATTTTATTTCTGTGAGGAATAAAAAAACAATACAAATTAAAAAAAAAAACAATTACAAAGCTAAATTGTTCATATCTTTAAAATAGAAAATGGACACCAAAACACAAGACCATTACAACCAATAACAAACTATTTTACAAGCGCTTGGGCATATTGAATGAAATTTACCATTCACTTTGAAGTGCAATTTTTCTTTTTAAAATTTCTCTTCGCTCACAGGAATCTATTGCATGTGTTGTTTGTGTATGGGTTAGTGTAGTCCCTGTCGCCTTTACCTATGCATGCACAGTGTGTGTGTGTGTGTGTGTGTGTGTGTGTGTGTGTGTGTGTGTGTGTGTGTGTGTGTGTGTGTGTTCGTCTAAGCTTTACAACACACACACACACACACACCAATAAAACAGTCTACAACGTAATGACACCTGGCCTCGGCTCCTCATTTAGCATCATCACCATCGCTTAACTGTGAACGTGGACTCTATTAACCAACCCAGGGAAAGAGGAGGCATTAACCAGTGATAATCCTCTGTGGTTTACATAGCTTATTCTGGATGGTCGATGATTTGTGTATTAAATTTCCATGAACTCTCGATTATCCAGACAGTTCGGGCTATGTGGTGGATTACCGTGTGGGATATAGCTGGTGTTTGATGGTTGTCTGATGGTGGTTGGTAGTGGTGATAATGATTGTTGTTGTTGTTGTTGTAATGGTGGTGGTGGTATTAGTAGCGACAGTTGTTTTGGTGATGGTGGTGGTAGTGGTAATTGTGGTGATGCTGGTAGTAGTGATAGGGGTGGTGTCATGTAAGATAGTGTTTTGTAAAGAGAGATTTATAAAGTGGTAACGAGAGAGAGAGAGAGAGAGAGAGAGACCTTACGGATAGGGGGAACAAGAAAGAATATGATAAATAAGGAACACATGTAAGAATCTTACTAAGAGATATCAAAGATACGAAAGAATAAAGGAGAAAATATATTCTCTCAAAATTCAAAGAAAAAACGATTATCCATAAAGAACGAAACGGAGAAACACGTAGGAGGAGAGAACATGTACAGAGACACTGACAGACGTATTTACATGGATAGAGAGACACATCTACAGGAACATAAACAGACGAGAGATAGTGAGACACATACAACGACAGACACATATACCAAGATACAGAAAGACACATGTACAAGAACATAGAGACATATTCAAGGATACAGTGAGACACATCGATAAGATCTTTCTCACACACACACACACACACGGGGAGACTCGAGAGACAGAGTGAACTTTCCAAACTTCAACATTGAGAATTTCTCCCATTAGTCTCTTAAATCGTGAGACGTCGTAGTACTCTCTCTCTCTCTCTCTCTCTCTCTCTAACCTGGGGATGGGTGTTGGCTGAGGGGGTGGGCGGGCCGGGGAGGTGAGGGTTGGAGAAGTGTGGGGTGGTTGTACGGGGTGGGGGTGAGACCTATAAGCCTACCTGGGCTTAGTTTTAAAGAGTTTTTACTGTGAAAAGTAATTATTTTTTAGGCTTAACGCTAATTTTAAGGTAAGGAAGATTAGGGATCAAAATTAGCAATTAACTAAAGGCGTTTGACGTAAGTTTTTTTACGTTGTTAAGTCGTATTATTTTGGGCTTCTTCACCGTTTTGTTCTTGTTCACTAATTTTCTTTACAATATTGTTGTACGATTTTCTCTTCCCTCCCTGCACTTACACACACACACACACACACACACACACACGCACACACACACACACACACACACACACACACACACAGAATGAAGGAACACACACAAAAAACATTTTAGTCAATGGATCTGTTGTCCTTTGAAAGTTATTTCTTACATCGAGAAAGAAAACCTAACCTAAAATGAAAATCTACTTGCTGATGTATATATCCTAAGTTATGTGTCATAAAACTGAAAAGAAAGAACCAACAGACCGGAATGCCATTCTCTTTGTCAAGTTTTACCATATGGTAACACTCTTTGGTAGAACATAGGTACAGTAGAAGGACCATATTATATCGTTTTATGTATCAAAGATTCTTTTCTTTTTCTACTTCTCTCACGTAAAGAAATATTAAATTTACATTAATAATCACATCCAGAATAACACCTGGTGATATACAAGACTCCAATATTTTTCGTATACAACGAGGACTTGGTTATGTCCAAGGAGGAATCCGGATTTGAGTAATAGTTCGTGGATAATGTTATTTTGATTCCCTGGGTTCTTGGAAATCTGGTCCGCCTTAATTTGATTTTCGAAAATTGAGTTAAAGTATTAAATTTCAAAGTTCCCCGAATTTAAACCAAATTTATTCTCGTGTAACTAAAATGGAGGTAACTAACATTTGAGAATTATTGTCACTGTACCTTTATCTGTATCTACACTTGTATTGTTTTACTTAAATATGGGAGTAGAATTTAAGTATCAATATATATAATTCAAATTCACTACCATATTGTTTTTTTTCTTGTGTAATGGATGTATAGGCTTAGCATAGCAAGACACAAGTACGAATAAAGAAACTAAAAGTATAGATAAAAGGAGAATAAGACATTGTTGGAAGTAAGCACGAGCGGGCACGTGGAGTATTGTGCAAAGACGAATGATATATTACATTTTAAAGAATAAATGTTAGCGAATGTAAGATGGAAATAAAATAAAGGAAAATCAAATAAGTTTAAGAGAATCTGAGAGAGAGAAGCTGAGAAGGGAAGTTGGAGAAATAATCTAATTTGAGTTGTCTCAGGAGAAAAATTGAGAGTTAGTCGACAACGAAGATAGTATTTTAAGGTAGAAGATAAAAGCTTTATTTACTTTTATTTCTCTTTTCATTTCTCCTAAAATGGTATCTATCGTTCATTCTCTTGTCTTTCATACTTATTCACGTTTACCATCCAAGTCCTCATCTCTTCTTTAATCTGACACTCTCCGTCTCTCTCTCTCTCTCTTAAGCCCCAACCCGAGCTTGCCTGGTGACGATCGGTGCTCACCATACTGAGCGTCAGGTTGTCCGTGATGTGAGCCTCTGGGATGTCTGTAGCTTCCGCCGAGTTGTTGAAGACCCAGGCGAAGCTGACGTGTTTAGGGTGTGCGTCGACCTCACAGGATACGTGGACCATCTCGTGTCGCGCGATGCCGTACACCCAGCGCTGCCCCGGTCGACACACGGGCGAGTCTGTAGGAGTGAGATTAAACAAGAACAGTGAACGAGGGGCATTAGTCTGAGAGAAGAAGTAAGATATATTGCCATTAAGTAAGAGAGAGAGAGAGGGGGGGGGGGGATGAAAACCTATTTATTTTTTTAATAGGTAATGTAAGTAGAAGTTTTTTATTTAACTTTTACTGTTTCTTTAGAGATGATGCAAGTTTTGTAAGTTAAGTAACTCGATAATGGCTTTACATGAAAAAAAATGACGGGAAGGAGGTAGAGGGATGAACAGAACGGTATAATCTGGATCATGGATATAAACACAGGTACGTCAAGGGGTCCGAGTCGCCTAACAATCTTCTTCGCCTGAAACTCAAAGGTTCCAATTCTGGCAGATAGTGGTGGAAAATTACAATAATCAAAGTAAAATTAAATATCAATATCATGAACCTGCGAACAGAAATTATTTTTCATCTCGGTCTCTTGAGGGGAAACTAAGCCGCGCATATATGGAGGTAAAATAGTGGTTATCGAAGTCACCTCAGATGGAGGTAAACCAAATAACTTTTACGTTGATTTTCATAAATTATTTAATGGGAACCTCATTGAGGAAGGTACTCGAGTCCAAATACCTATATCGTCCAACTGCGTGGCGAGGGTATAATATGGCTTCCTTGTTACTGGTACTAACTTGAATAATTTCACATCAAGTGTCTTTCACAGCCCAGAACTCCCTGAGTAGCGCGCTGCCGGTACCATGAGGCGAGAAAAAGTCTGTGTGGACTTAGAGATAGGAAATTAAATCTGTCAACAGGGAGATGTTGGTGTGTTTGTGGACGACCAGAGAAAAGTTTTCGGACAAAAACACTCACGGCGTCCATAATATAATATATATATATATATATATATATATATATATATATATATATATATATATATATATATATATATATATATATATATATATATATATATATATATATATATATATATGAGAGTGAGAGGCTGGGCCCTTAAATTGTGACCTATACGGCTATACCCAAACTGGGCTTCTTTAATACACCACAGAACAGAGGAATTAACCCAAGGTGTCTGCCATTAAGGCCTGGTGTTATATATAAGTTGAGAATGGACACTTATATATCTTGGCTTCACAGGTCCTGTACCTCCCTGGCATTATGATGATATCGTGTTGTTAGTGTGTGTGTCCTGAGACCAGTAGGGACTGGTAGTGTTGAGGCACCAGCTGACACGGTCTCATGAATACGTTATCTTTATATTCGTTATTATTCATTACTTCAAATATATTTACACCTTTGTGTATTTATTCGGTATATGCATGTTATTCTGTGAATAATTTATTACTATTATTATTATTATTATTATTATTATTATTTTTATTATTTTTATTATTATTATTATTATTATTATTATTATTATTATTATTATTATTATTATTATTATTATTATTACTATTACTATTACTATTACTATTACTATTATATTATTATTATTATTATTATTATTATTATTTACTGTATGACGGTGCGTGGTGAGGTGAAAAAGTCTACGTTGTTTGCTATCCATGTTTCACTTACTCTGCATTATTATTATTATTATTATTATTATTATTATTATTATTATTATTATTATTATTATTATTATTATTATTATTATTATTATTATTATTATTATTATTATTATTATTATTATTATTATTATTATTTTTGTTATTGTTGTTGTTGTTGCTATAATAATCATGAAGCCGAATTTCACTGAGTATCGAGAAACAAAACAGATGAATTACTGTCATCAGCAGGGGGTGAGCAAGGCAGCTGGGTTGGCTGTTGTCCACCTCTACTAATTAATATTCACGACGATAAACTTAATTTTCTTTCTGCGATGACAGTCATATGTGACGGCTAAAATTATTTCCGCAGCTAAAACTTATTCGCAATGGTGCAACTTTCTGAATAATTTACAAGTTCCTTTCATAAATTAATTTTTTTCCCAAATTGGTTACAGTTTTGAAAATTATAACAAAGCATAAAATGGAGTCAGACTTTCTTTTTCGCCCCGTATTCAACTTCGTCTCAGAAAACTTGCTGTGATATATGACCGCTTAAGTGCTGAGTCCAGCTGCACATTCCGCATAGTTTTAAGACACAGTGGATAAGAGAGGAGATGAAGGAAAATATAAAGGTTCCAATCCTGTGGGAAAGACAAAACACAGTCTCAATATTGTAATGGCGTTAATAGGTTCGTATACCATGGATATATACGGGATAGTGTTTGAATATGCTGCACTTGGAGTCTTTGTATTCCGTTTGTATTATTTATAGAAGTTTATTTCATTTATACTTATCCATGGACGTATGGTAGTGTCTGTCGTTATTTTAGTTTTCTCATATGATAAATATAATAATTTCCTTTATTTTTACCTAAGTTTTATTTTTCAATCACAAGGATAATTAGTCACTTTCCATATGTCTTTTTTCTTATATCAAATAATCTCTCAAAATTGTGTTTGGGATTAAACAGAAGAAGCTGTGTATAAGGTGTTGGTGGTGTGTTTTATCTTAATGTATTGTGGGCGGCCAGCTGTGTTATGGAATGGACCCCTTTACCTCCTGCGTCATTCACTAAAGGGTTCTTGGCTCCCTCTCTCCTCCAGCTTCCTCATCATGATTCCGTTTGTATTGACTACCGTAAAAATATCTCAATATCAGAGACGAAAAAAAAGCAAAAGGCAAAAGTGTCTTTGACACTTTGACAAATTCTGCTCCTCTATTCCATATTCAAGGGAAAGGAAATTGACTTTTCTGAACAAAATAGGCGCGAACTATCAGGGCTCTGAAACATCCGGATTGCTTCTTCGATTGTTGGTAAAAGTTTGTCTGTTGAAACATGGACTTCTGCCGCTCGGGGAGATTATCCTGACACAGGAGAAAATGTTCGAGGAAGAGAAACAGCTTGGATTTTTTAAATCGACTTCTAGGTGTATAAACCTACGGAAAAAATCCGACCAAGAACTGTAAAATAGAAAACATGTGTAAATCAAGCTGTCATTATTGTGATTGACGAATAATAATATCTCCTTATGGTAACACATGACCAAAAGTTTTTCATACCGATACAATATGAAATGTTCAATGAAGCACGACACATTAGCCAGACTGGGGCGCCACGACGGCAGGTTAGAGTGACTGGGTGTTGCGTGGCGGGTATTGGCTGGGCAGAGAATGTGAGGCATTTAATATTGCGGGCCGGAAGCATGACCGGGCGGAAACTTTGAAGAATCCTGGTGTGCAAAGTTATTGTTGAAGAAATATGTGACGCACAGCACAGGAGATTTCTTGTTGAATTCTTCCTCTGTCCTCATATTTCCTTCCTCCACCTTCTCTTTTTTTTTCGTCTTTTTGTTGTTGCTGTGTTTCTTGTTTAAGCTGCCACGGTTATTCTCATCGTCTCATCGTTTTCGAGTTCTGTTGTAGACTTTGTTTTTTATTTACGTGTTCTTGCTCAACTAAAACCTTTTATTATCTGAATTAATGATAAAAAAATAGCAAGTTATATTTCACAGTTTTTATTATAATAGGCGGGGGGCGGCTCGGTCAAGCGTAGGAAAAAACAAAAACATTAACAGTAGTATTCTGAACAATGTAAGTATAATTAAGATCTTCATGGTTTGTTCATACTAAAGACCCTCGACAAGTGCTTCAGTCAAGAGGGAGATTAACAACCGATTTATTCACATTGCACAAAAGGATATCAAACGGTGCCACGGATAGCTTTGGTGGGTGAAGTAGAGCGAACACAATCAGAGCTCTGTTGTTTTAATTCACGAAAAAAGGTAAAATATTACTATATAGAAATATAAGAACACGAGGAGCAGAATTAAAGGGTTTTGCGGAAACTTGAATAGAATTGAAAGAATGTTTGATCTGAGACATTATGAATAAGTTACTGACATTCAGGGTATAAATTGTAGAGACATTTTTATACTATACTCACACTTGACGTCGAGCAGGATGGGTCTGGAGGTGCCCTGACCCTCGGAGTTAATGGCCCTGCAGGTGTAGCTACCGGAGGAATATCTCTCCACCTTCTGCAACACGAGGCTCATGTTGGCCACGATCACCCCTCCCGTACTGTTGGCCTTCAGCTGGTTCTCCTGTGTAGGACATGACCAAAAAGGGGGTTACCTTGAGGGTGGTGGTATGCAGGAAATTGGGGGGAGGAGAGAAGTGTTTAGTTTGGGTTGGTGGTGATAGTACAGGTAGGTTGGTGGTGATAGTACAGGTAAATGGCGAGTAATTCTACGTTTTCGTCCCTAGTCCTACTTATATACTTTTTTTTTAGGACTTTGTGATCCATCTTTATTTATTTATTTTTTTTTATCTGTATCCGTTTCCTTCACATCATTTCTGGGGTTACCATCTTGTCTTTGTTTATTTTTTCTTATTCGCTTCTCTTTTGTCCTGACACACACACACACACACACACACACACACACACACACACACAGAGAGGGTAGTTGGCGTGGTGGATCCTAAAGCGCCACAAATGTGCTATAATTCGTCCCCTGCTGCCCGAACATCACCCACCACCACCACCTTCCACGACCCACATTATGCAAGGCCTCACCCACACCACCACGACGGAGAGAGAGAGAGAGAGAGAGAGAGAGAGAGAGAGAGAGAATATATATTATCTCTTCATGCCAAGGAGATCAGAAAAGTATATCGCAACATGGGAAGAATCTTGTGGAGATCAAAGAAGGATGAAAGTTATACCAGACGACAGAGAGAAATCCGGAGAGGTCCAGGAGGAGAAGGAACGGATATATCATACTATAGACAGACCCTAATTATACAAGGAGAAGAGAGAAATATATTGGTGTTTATATACAAGCCAACGAGTGTGAGGAAGAGCAGCAGAAGAATTGACCATCAGTATGGGATGATCCAAAGGGCGGCCGAGTTTTATTTATATCATTTATGGTTTCGTCACTTTTCTACCGGAGTTGTAATTAATGTGGATGTGATTTCAAATGATAATATGATTTTTTTAATGATATTTCCAGGTTATTGGGTAATCAATAATAATTCCAGTCATTTGATGTAGGAAACTTTTCATGTCTGCAGTTAACGCGGAATTCACGATAAGATTTTCTATTAACGCCCGACAATTTGTCAGGTTTGTCCGTCAACCTCGGTACCTAGGAGAAGGAAATTGTATTGGGGGAAAAAAGAGGAAATCATGTGGTCCATTATTTGGAAATCCTGTTAATGAACTGAACTGAGATGGATTACTGTATTCCTTAATAAAAATTCCATCGGGAGAAATAAACGTATTACAATATAGTGAAGATGAGAGAATGGTTAAAGCCTATGGTCACCGGCCTCACCTGTGGGCTTAACGTCGACAATATTCCCACGGTAACCATGCCTGGAATCACCCTTGTGACACGACCGTATTTCATGAATAATATCCACCAATTTCTGAGTGCTTTTAAATTGCATGCATATATTTACATTATAATTAGGTCCAAAAATGTCGATAAATGAAGGGAAATGGATGTTTTTTTAAATCACTACATAATCCAGAGCATTCAGTATTTTCTGTAGGTTAATGTGGTCTTTACACGAGCATTACTTACCATCAGTGTTGCTGCCAGTTATTTCACAGAAAATTATTCTTAATTCATGAATATTTCTAATTAAGGATTTTAAATTTTTTCTGACCAGTGATCATATTAATTAATAAATTATTAATATGAGAATCCTAGCTGGAAATTCATCATAATTATATCTCTTTCTATACTCTTGTCACTGCTGCAGTTCTCACTCTTATTAACAAACAATTGACACTTTCAATAGTATTACTGTTTTCATTAATACTAACCATGACACGTCTTATGATATTTGCATCTTTGACCTTCGCTGTGTTGAATACCGCTACAATATTCAGTACCACTTGTATTATGACTATCCTTAATATTAACGCGTTATTGCTGTTTATACCACGAACGTTATTAATACTCTAGATATTGGTGACAGCTGTGTACATTTACAACACGTATGATATCAAGTAATTGTTTACATTAATACCACATCCAGTGTTACCAGAGCAGGTACCTTTATTGCACCTCATAATGGTGGTGGTGAAGGATTTTGGTACTGGGAGGTGGAAGAGCGGAGTATTGTAATATCGTCTTATTCTGCCCTCATACAGTTGGTGATTAGTGTTGAAGCCCGTATCGTAACAACAGCGCCAGGTCGGGCATTCAGCAACGCCTGGCTGTTCCCTACAACAAACCACGACACGCCAGAAGAATATGTGTATTCCTGCCAACAATAGCTCTCCTTTATTCTACTATGGCATAGATAGAGAGGAGGAAGCTATAACAAGCTGACTGTGGCGTGTAAAGGCCAAGTGTTGACGGAGAGGGTAGCAGAACACAGCAGGAAGACACAGTACAGCAAGTCACACTGTGGTACACTGAATAATTACGACACCAATGGGAAGGTGATGTTATAACACGAAGACACAACACAGTTACTGGATGAAGCAACACAGAAGGAATCACCATGATGAACACAGTACAAGACTTACGTTATGGTACCAGAGGACGGCGGTAGGGGTGGGTACGGCCTTGTAGCTGCAGGTGAAGTACACGTCCATACCCTCCCTGATGTCGTGTAGCTCCAGGCGTGTGTTGAGGGAGATCTGAACCACCGGCACGTCTGAAGGAGTAATATTTTGGAGTGTTAAGCCGACATACACTGTAGCCCTCCTCCTAACCTACACATTTAACAGGGACGTGTATGTCTATTGTGTAACTACACTTTATATACTAAGGTTACAATTCTGTTATTTTCTGTAATATCACCTTTACAATTTAAATATCTCCGGCACTTTTAATTACTATATGCTTTCTTTCATATTTCGTTATGTTAAGAATTTTCTCTGTTTGATTTAGTTGTTAATTTAAATTGTAACATTTGAATTAATTTGCATAAGCCGGTTTCTCGTTTGAAATGGAACTGTAAAGTCTTCCATAAGTTCTCTGTACATATTTTAATATTTCGTTGTCCCACTTATTTAAGGAGCCACGAAACATTATAATTGTTGTACAGACAAGGAACTGAACACGAAACTTATATAGAGGACAATTGTGTGGACCATTACTCACAGTGCACGACGAGCTTGGTGCCGTCTTCCAGGGAGGACTGGAGCAGACCCGGGGTGTCTGCTCTACAGGAGAGGTAGCGTCCCTGGTCCTCATCAGTAGCGACCACCACCACCTTGCTCTCTGTCACGTTGCCTTTGTCCAGCAGCCTCTCACCGCTATTTCGCAGAGGCCGCCCATCTAGCCACCAGCTGACTTCAGGAGGGGGTCGCGCGCCCACCACCATGCACACCACCGTTACTCCCACGCCCGCCGAAATTGGTCCATCTACTCCCATGAGGTTGATGGACATGGGCGGTACTGTGGGGGAGATTGTTCTGCGTCAGAGGTTAAGTTTATCATTAAGGGTGTTGAGTTGGGGGTAAATGAGAGCAGGTGAATGATGTATTTATGATGCTGGAAATGTGAGAGGAACCAGCAGAAAGTTGTTTTATTATTGTGAAAAAGAGAGAAGAGAAAAAAACGGATAAAAGCGAGAGAGAGAGAGAGAGAGACGTCAGGACGAGTCTGTAATACAAACAAACAAGACGAACTTCAATTTTAACATTTGAGAAAATTCCGGCGAGATACAACCAACTTTTGGCATCAAAGTCTTCAGTGAGCGGGTAAATCTTTTGTACCCTCATATTACCTCAACCGCGACCCCGGCCTACGTCGCCCACTACCACTCGACCCTCACCCCCATCCCCACACTCAACCCACCCCACCCCACCCCCAACCCCAACCCCACCCCAACCCCAACTAACCCCACCCCAACCCCAACCCCACCCCAACCCCACCCCAACCCCACCCCCAACCCCACCCCACACTCAACCTAACCTAGCCAAGCCAATGAATCTTTTTTTACGTGGGTTGGGGGGGTGCGAGGAAACATACATACTGAAACTACTGCTTGTCATGTGTCGGGTAGTTCTCGTCCACACCTTTATATGGAAAATTATGTATCTCACTCAAGCTTTCATACACAGAACATAGATAAGAACAATATGCCGTCTATACCCCAACACTGAAGGTCACAAAAGGAGTATCTCAACCCTCAGACAAAAGACTTCATCAGCGAGATTTAAAAACTACGTCGTTCTCCTCAGACAGAATTTTATAGAATCCTCTTAGCTTTGATCTCGAGGGATACATGCTAAGTACACAAAGAACCACTAATGGCTCAGCAAACAACTCTACTTTATGAAGGCAAAGGAAAAGTGATCTCAGGTTTGACATTAAATTCTGGTGTTGCTTTGTGTTGCGGTAGTGTTGTGTAGTTCATTTCATGGCCATACGTGTCACGGATATTAATATTGCTCGCACATTATGAACTTATAGGCACACACACACACGCACACGCACACGCACACACACACACACACACACACACACGCACACACACGCACACACACACACACGCACACACACGCACACACACGCACACACACACACTCAGGGTACACCAACCTCACAAGTTTCATGGAGAGGTAAAGTAGTTTAGGCTCAGTTTTTTCACCAACTCGGCGCAGATTTTGCTATTATTAAACATGATACACAGCAAAGAACCCTTAAACTCTGTGACTTTTTCTTTCTGAACAACAATATTTTTCACTGTATATTAAGCTCTTGTACATCGTGAATATAAGGGTGTAAACCTAACCTAACCTTACCCACCGTCTTGTATAGAGAGCAAATATTACTTACTTATAGAAGTAATATATAACTTTCATAGGAGAACTTGTAATCCAACTCATCTAGACTGTAACGTTAATATAAACCATCAACTACAAAATTTACATCCAAGTTTACTCAACAGAGATAAGTCCCAAGACACGTTGTTCCCAGTCGATGCCCTCTCCACAGAACGTGTAGGTTATATAATATTGACTTGAATTTGATCTTGAAGTTAATGACACAAACTTGCTATGTTTTTACACACTAGATACCTTGTTACTGAACTGATAATAACACACCTTTGTTATGATAAAAAAAAGAGAGTTTGAGTGTTTGATATGTACTGAAATAAGGTTGAAATATTAACACCTCTTCTCCTGATCTGCATTCATTATCAAGCAACTGTGCATTGTAACTGTCGTGAGGACACAAGACTGCTTACCTGTCTCTTGTTGGCCATCGAGCATTGTGCAGTGAGAATTTTATAAATTCTTCTCTATGTAGCGAAGTTTGACAACTTTAATTAAAATGCAAACTTGGTGTCATCCTTTGCAATTAAAACTTAGAACTCACTAACTTCACTTTTAAGACATTTGCAAAAGTCACCAACTTTCTGGTGAATCAGCCTCAGTGGCAAAGGCGTCTTCACATCACAGGGGCTTCTCTCTCTCCTTATCTGGTATTTACTTGCGCAAAAGCCAACGGGAAAAGATCACCTTGTGTGTACCAGATCTCGTGTTTAGACAAAGTTGACCAGTGACCTCTCCTTCATCTCGATTTTGACTATCAGCATAAATAAACAAAAACCCAGTGTGATGCTTAATAGATGACAAACTAAGCTAAGCGTTAAGCTTAAGATACAGGACAGAAAGAGGTGCCAAACTTAATGGGCCATAATCTTAATGGTTAGATTAACTTAGGAACCATTAAGACTGACATTCATTGGGCTTAAGGTCCATTTGACTACAACTAAATTCCCCCTCTAACGATGCCTCAGTGTTTTGCCAGGAAGGATCTCATTTCATTAGCTATTCACAATTTTGCATAATCATTTGTTCATTTACTTACAGCATTAAATTACCTAATATTGAATCAATTAAAATGTCCTTATTTGTAGATTCACCAACATATTTAGCTTCAGGGGTAAGGCAGCGGCATAAACACAGCCTCCTACTTTGCATGGTAAGTTAATATGGGTAAAAATTTACAACAGAAAGAGAGCATTTTTTTATTTTTTTAGATCAGCAAGACCAAACGCGTAAGGAAGATGACACACGGATGAAAGAACAAAAGAAAGAGTATAAGTTTCCCCTTAAATGTCAATAAACTAACACGAGGTACAAGTGACAACCTCTCACTCCACCAAAACTCATTAATTTATGTAATCGACAGTAATTTATTTTTGAAATTTATTCTTTTATTCATGTAATTCCAAGAGGTTATGTAAATGACAGCGGTGTTATGTAATAGTGTCAGCCTTTCTTGAATATCAAAGATTAGCTCACTATTTCACGACAGAGTTGTAAGCAGAGCGGTATTGACAGATGGTGAGCTGAGCTGAGAGTTTGAGCTAAAGATGATTAAGTGATATTGGAGTCAATCTTGTTTATATATAATATAGTAATATGACCTGAAAGAGTGAGCAAATCTTTAACACACACACACACACACACACACACACACACACACACACACACACACAACTTACGTTTCATGTCAATGGTGACCGCCGCAGTGACAGGGATGGCTAGTTCGGCGTTACTGGCTTGGCAGATGAAGGACTGGTGGAGGTGGTGTCGCTGGAGGGAGGGCACGGAGAGTGTGTTGATTACCTCCCCCTTGCCCTCGCTCACCTCCCCCCGCACCTCCTTGTGGCCAGCCCACCACGTCAGCTTGGGCGGCGGTCGGCCTGTTCAGAAAGAAAACAACAAATATAATTGGTCAGAAATGAAATAAAAACATATATATATATATATATATATATATATATATATATATATATATATATATATATATATATATATATATATATATATATATATATATATATATATATATCTCCCTTGCTGTTGTTGTCTCTTTCTCAGTGGATTGGGTCTCTTTATTTAGAATTCCATACATGGGTCCAGTAAACCATTAAGATCTAAATTTAAGTCAAAACTTTCCAAATGAGTTGTCTGTTAAATTTGCATAAATGTGACAAAAGGGGAAATTCACCACATTGCATTTTAAATAACGAGAGGAATATGTATGCAAAGGGGCCACTTAGGCCAGTAAAACATAAAGGAGATTATTAAACCCGTTTGTGTGCAAATACCATTAATTAAATTCACCTCCATAATGCCTGTGTGTTATTTTCATGAAGTTCCTCTCCTGTGAAGGTCTTGCAGGAACGGGTTGAGAAATACTCGAGGAATTAAAAAAAAAAACATCTGGTAATTATTGCTTTAACCTTCTCTTTTATCATTATTCCGAAAAGTTTAGGGAGTAATGTTAAGCCGGTGTTCCATTATTCAAAGCCGCCACTGGCCAGGCTAATTCTTAATTATCTCCATGTTCTTAACCCAGCCACACCTCCTCATTAATTAGTCTTGTGGGGCTCTGGGGCCTGACCCACCCAGCCCCTCAGGAACTGTTCCTTGTTCCTGATGAAGGCGAGTACTATTTGTTCCTTGTTCAAGTGAATATTAATGGTTACTTGTTCCTGGTGGAGATGAATAATTCGTGTTCTTTGTTCCAGATGGCGATAAGCACTACGTGTTCCTTGTTCCTGGTGGCGATAAGCACTACGTGTTCCTTGTTCCTGGTGGCGATAAGCACTACGTGTTCCTTGTTCCTGGTGGAGGTGAGTAATACATGTTCTTTGCTCCTACTGGAGAAGTTTATTTACCGTTTCAGAGAAGCTATTAACTGTGTCCCTCTCATAGAGATGTTCACTTCCTTGTTCTATGAGAGAGGTGTTCTGTCCTGTATGTAATCGTGAGTGTTCCTTGGTGGGGGGGGGGGGGTGTTCGTTCACTCGTGGGTGTTCCTATAGGAGGTGTTCACTACTGCATGTTATACGGGGTGAAACTATCATCCATATACCAGTGAAAGTTAGTCTTCTATGTGTTCCCGAGATAAAAAGTCTTAACCAGTTTTACTAAGAGAGTTTAAGACCATTATCAGTGATCGTATGGGGAGGGAATGTTGTGTACGCGGCAGTTTATTTAGTTTTCCATGTATCCCAATAACCTGTTGGTGTAAGTCAGAGCGGTGATGATAGACACAGACAAGGCCAAATGTTTATGAATTATTTTATCATAAGTTTCTACAGTAAATCACACACAGGGTCTAATTCATCTTGATATAATACCTTTACATTCATTAGTAAAGAGTTCCATTGCGTAAAATAGTGTATAGGTATGAATTAACCCCTAAAGGACTACAGGGATTGGAAGAGTTTCAGAGGACTCCTTAGAACTCTCATTGATATATATTTAGTAGATGGCTGTGAATGCCATGGGAGGTACCGGAAGCCATACTTGTACTTTATATTCAGGAAGTCCGCTAGTATTTCAGGACACAGGTTTAGGTTCCGTATCCGCTACTATGTTCTGTACTTAATACTGTATTCCAGGTACAGTTTGTAGTAATTTACGGCTTAATTCTACGCCCGACTTCCAAATTCCGGTGTAGATCCCAGGCTCAAGATACAACAAACCCTCAATGATTATTTCCTGGGTTTTCTTAATAATTGTTTAGCTTGACTCAGAGTTTCTTTCTCAATTTGATATTTATACGTTGCCTATACAATCACAGCGGCGTGAAAGTGATAAGAACAGCCTTTAATATGACATTAACCCCCCCCCCTCGAGCGAATTATTAATGGCTGGGGCTTAAGTCTTAATATCAAATGAACCTTTCGGAACACCTCAGTGCCTCTCAGCGATGAGGAAACTTATCATTTATTTTCCGAACATTGTCATTCACGGGAGCTTGTATAAGAGGACTAGGGAGAACTGAGCTGTATTATTATGCAAGTTAGGAGTGAAGAAACCAAACCTGTTCCTAGTTTCTTCAAGAGTTTTATTTTCAAGATAAGTTTAATTGTCGTATAAGTGATTGGTGTGTGTGTGTGTGTGTGTGTGTGTGTGTGTGTGTGTGTGTGTGTGTGTGTGTGTGTGTGTGTGTGTGTGTGTGTGTGCGTGCTTAATGAAAACGGATAATCTGGTAACACTGAAATAGAATATTGTATACTGTTTACTTTAGGTTTAAATGCGTGATGATACGTCAACATATTTGTTCTAATTGACTCTAGAAGAAAGCGTTAATTTGATCTAAAATCTAGTTCAGAGTACAGAAGGGTGATTAGTGAATAAGGGGGAGGGAGAGAAGGAAAGCTGCAAAGAAATAAGAGCGGAACAGAAAGAATGGATTAAGGATGAATGAGAGAAGTGGGAAGGAGGAAGAGACGGAGAGAGAAAAGGAGAAGAGAGAGTGAGTGAAACGGAAGTTGTAGGGGTTGAAGAGTGGGGTAATGTATGTATTCCCCAAGGGCCACTCACAGCCCTACGGAAACCCATCTAGCCAGCCAGCCAGCCAGCCAAAAGCACAACGATGGTAGCAATCGAGCAAGGGCCTGAAGCCACGAACACTGAACCGTAGACATTAAGGAGGATGTTGTAATGGATGATACTCTATGCACATGATTATCTATGCCATTATACTTAAACATAAATGTAATTGACTGAATGATATGGAGAGACGTGGAGTATTGCTGCATCAGTAACATTACGTACCTAGACGAACCTTACTCCTCACCTATTGCTACCTTTGTTAATTAAGATTTTTATTAGTCAAAGTCCTCATTAAGCATGTAAATCTATTTATATATATATATATCTATTTTTTTTACTGCATATCGTTATTGTTCTTCCAGCATAACTTCATCCAGTAACTCGTCTTGGTCTGATAACAACTCGCACATTCTCTCAATCGCCATAAACACTCGCGTGTCGCCTCAGATCTTGTGCCTCGGGTCGCTCTTTAGCTCACATTAATCGTCGCCCCCCACAAAACCCGGCCATTAAGATAGCAGCCCAGGAGACTAACTCACCCGCCTACTTGATATACTTCCAACTTTTTCATGATGGAATTTATCCCAAGTAAAAGTTGGTATAAGGTATAACATCATTCATTACCTTTCCTCTGAAGTGAAATGTGTATCAGTGTTTATGTATATACTGCATCGGGGATTTGTATTACTTTAGCGTTTTTAAAGTGTATGAGTCAGTCTTAAACAATTATAAAGAATGCCAGTGGTACCTGTCAAGCTAGGTCTTAAAGGAGTGATATTATTTTTGTTCATTATTATTAGCGACATGGAACAATTTCGAACCATGAACCGTATTTTAAAACATTCGACATACACAAATATCAGTAAAGAGAAGATAAATAGAAAACAGACAAATACATTATAAATATATTGGTATTTTAACTTCCATGAAATAAAGGGACTGAGTTTTTTTCCCCCTGATGGTCTTAACTCACGACAGTTCCTTCCCCCTATCTTATGACTTCCTCACTTGATAATTATTGCACCCTTCCCCTCATTATGAATAGGTGGCCTTAAGTCGCAACAATATGTAACTCGGATATAAACTTTATCATGAGTTTATTCCTCACTATAATGATTTGCTCAAGGGACATGTCCACGGAGGCAGGGTTGGTCGTGTGTGTGTGTGTGTGTGTGTGTGTGTGTGTGTGTGTGTGTTCCATTTTTTCTCTCTCTCGGATACAAATAAGAATTATCTCTTTATCTCCATATCAAACCCTTCCCTGTCCATTTATGTTTCTCTCATTCTCTTATCTGTCTGTATATCTGTCAATCTACCCTCCCTTCTACCTCTTTCTTTCTATCTATATGCTTCCCCATTTATCTTTTTACTTTTCCTTGTCTCTCTCTCTCTCTCTCTCTCTCTCACCTCAAGATTCTATTAGCCAAATAAGTCGTGGTCTCCGGGGTCAACACGCAGCGCTGAATGACATGACAGACACACACAGACCCAAATGACTTGCCAGGGAAAAAAACACGAACAAAATTTCCTGTTGCACTTGGCCGTCAACATCAGGCAAACAGGAGGATTATGGGCGCTCCCTGTAAATTATTCAACTTGCTGGCGAAATTTATGACAGTGGTTAAAAGTGGAGAGCGAAAGGTGGGCTAGTTGGCGTATTGTCCACTAATTAAATTTTTTTTAGCTCAGGTAGAAATGATTGCAGTGGTCTACAAAGTCGAGTCGAAATATTAATTTTTCAGCTGTGTGTGCGTGTGTGTGTGTGTGTGTGTGTGTGTGTGTGTGTGTGTGTGTGTGTGTGTGTGTGTGTGTGTGTGTGTGTGTGTGTGTGTTTTCTAAAGAGTAAAGGATAATGAGGAGGAACACATAAACGTGTACACGGGTAATCGTGTATTCTTCTTAAAACTTGCTTGCGCGAACGCACATTCATATGCACCTAAAGGTTTGGTTGTATCTACGAATATGCACACAGTAATAGTCTACGTACGTTACATACGTTCATACATACATAATTACACACATATTTACTCAGACGAAGACGCGTGCATTCAAAAGTACACACACACACACACACACACACACACACACACACACACACACACACACAAATACACACACACATCCTTCCTAATTTCGCAGTACTTTTGATGTTCACAGTATTGTTCCCAGACTGTTCCCACCTTCTCTTCTCGTCTCTTGTCAAAGTCTTTTAAATTCACAAGTTCCTGGATCACTCACCCCTTGCCAGCTTCTCTGGATCCTACCTGGTATTGTAACTTACATGTATACCGGAAGAAGATAAATCAGGACCAAACACCTTGCTTCCGCGCCATTCAGAACTTTCAACAAA